AAGATTTAGAATAATTATAGTTTTAAACCAAGATTTGGAATATTATCATTTTGATCCATATGGTAATGTGTGACTGGGCCTCGTGTCACTTTATGTGGAACAAATTGGGCCCCGAAGTCAAAAAGGTTAAGAACCCCTGATCTATATCATTTATAAATCTTCTGGAAAGTCACTTTTTTTCAGATCATCTGTTCTTTAAAGTGTTCATGGAGATCTAAAACAACCTTCCATGTTTCCGCCCCACAGCCTTGGTGTCTCTGCTCCCAGTTTGTCCCCCACCAGGCACAGACTGTGGTACCGACTGTCCCACCTACCCAAAGTGCAGAGACCCTGACACGTTCAGTACTTTTCTTCTGGACCTATTCAAACTGACCATTGGCATAGGAGAACTGGACATGGTCTATAGTGCGCGGTATCCGGGGGTCTTCCTTGTCCTCTTAGTCACTTATATTATTCTCACTTTTGTGCTGCTACTCAACATGTTGATTGCGTTGATGGGGGAGACGGTGGGCCAGGTGTCCAAAGAGAGCAAGAAGATCTGGAAGCTGCAGGTGACAAAGCTTCATTTTTATTAATTACATAAAAATCCAATCTATTTTAATGTAAGAGCTTCTGGAAAGAGTATTTTAAGATGTTTGCATGTTGGTTAGACTCAAACAGGAAGTTTCTTGACATCAAGAGTTTAACAGGTGTTTGATTTGAAAACAAGCTAAAATGCAAACATTTCGATAAATTTCCAGAAGATCCGTAAATCATTCGATTAAAATACTCTAATGTCATTGTCATGCTATAACAAAAAACAAACTAACTCTGAACTAAATGAAAATTGGATTTTTCACAGGGTTTTTCAGTGTTTTGATTTTTTTTTATTAATAGCAGCTTGTTGCATGACTTGCAGTGGGCTACAACCATCCTGGATATCGAGCGCTCCTTCCCGGTGTGTCTTCGCAAGTCTTTTCGAGCAGGAGAGATGGTGACCGTGGGAAAGAACTGGGATGGCACACCAGACCGACGCTGGTGTTTCAGGTATTCTCCATGACACAACGATTATCAACAACATTTGCTCAAAGGCCAGAATGTATTTAATTAGACATTGCCTTTTGAACTCAACTTTGTAATGTTTTAGAGTTTATTGCATTTTTTTTTTGCACTGAACAGCCACCGTACTTTTGGTTATTCAGCTGCACATCCTGTCACTGCTGCGTGTGTTTCAACGTCTGAGTCAGACTTGATCATGTGGCATGAATGAAGACTCTGACTCCCTAAGTTGTTGCTGTCATTAACCCTTTCAGGGCTGGGGTGCAGCTGATTCTTGTATCAAAATGTTTGTAATTTATCAATAAAGTAATACTTCCTGGGCCAGATGAAATAAGTTTGTGAACCAGATATGGCCCAAGAACCATCAGTTGACGTTAACAGGAGTATAGTACATTTAGTATAGTCTACCACAAAGTTAATAAAAGGTCAAAATACCAGGATAATCAAAGCGTTATTATTTTTGCAGTATTAAGGCAAGCATTCATTTTTAGTTGTGTGTCAATCGTCACACAAAACATAATAAATTAGACCAAGCAAACAAAAACCACTGCTCTGAGTTCTAAAACATGTTTGTTTTAAATTCACATTTTTGGTCACAAACTGCAATGAATGAGAGCCAGAATGTAAAAGTACATTATTAAGTCAAAGCAGTTGTGTTTTCACTGTGTTTATGTACTTTTGTTTACTGAAAGGGATGAATTTGCTGTTTGTAACAGAGATTCTCACCTTCCAGTCCTAATGTTGTGTTGTTACTTCAGGGTGGATGAGGTCAACTGGAATCACTGGAATCAGAACTTGGCCATAATTAACGAGGATCCAGGCAAGAGTGAGACCCTCCAAACCACCGGGTTGCAGCCAAGCGTCCGAGGCCTGAAGAGAGGTGAGACCATGCTGTGCCCCTGCGATTTATTATGAAGTGTGTTTGTGTGGATCGTTCATCCACACAGGTAAAATATTGTCTTTTCATCCACGACAGATCGCTGGTCCACTGTGGTCCCGCGGGCGATAGAGTTAAACAGAAGTCCTCGTCCTCCTGAGCTGGTGGTGGAGATGGAGCCCCTGACGTCCAGGCACTGACCAGCCCTCAGCTTTCTGATCAGGTGGCAACAAAACGCCACCAGCTGTTACATTTTAACATGTAGCCATTATATGTGCTAATTTACACATCTTGAGCCTTTTGTTTATGATGAACAGAATATTACAACACTTTTGTTATAAAAGAACAGAAGACTGAATAGAGACAATGAAAGTACAGCTGATGAAACATTTCCACACAATCATTCCAATTAAACCCTGAGGAAACACTAAAAAAAGCTGAAGAATTGAGAAAGTGAGCTGGACATCAGTGGGCGATCACCCTGGGATTTTTACATTCATTGTCTTAATTTTTTTAAAGGAAACAGATTTTTGTGCTTTTCTAATTGCCATTTTAAAAGCYTATTTACTGTATTGTAGCGTTAGCCGTCAATGACGAGTCTTTTATCAAATCTTGCAGATCTAATTTTATATTTTAGAACCAGTTTTAGACTCAGCTTACATTTTAAAGGACGAGTTTTGCCATAAAGATTATACTCTACACGCTGATTAGGATAATTTTATTTAGGCTGGGTTTTAGAGCAAAAGTACAGAATATATCTATTTAGTGCAGCATATGTTTGTGTTCCTGCATCGTATTAATTAAATGTACTAGTTTGAAAAGGCGCAGGCTTGAGCTGCCAGCTCAGGCAGAACAGCTGTCATTTGAGCAGAAACAATGCTCTCTGCCAGTTTCTGATGTGCGCATTATTATATGAACACAAAGACGGTATTCCGAACAAGATGGGCATGATGAGCAGGTTATAGTTGTCAAGCAAAAATGCAAATGCAGGACAATAGCCCCCCGTGTTATGGGTTGTCTTTGAATTTGCAGAGTTATTGTTCCTTTGCAGCTGGGGCGTTTGCATAATCAACTCTTAGTCCTTGCTATTATGTACTTCGCCCCTGTTTGCTGCGGTGTTTTCATCGCAGWTGGCTCTTTGCCCTGTACAGCATTTTTTATGCACATAAATTGAAAAGTGGCATACATGACTTGCAGCTCATTTTTGTAAATTCACTACTGTTGCAGGGTACAGGTCAAAGTTCAATGTGTTTACATTTTGATTCATTTTTCTACATTATTTGTACACAGAACAGTAAACTGATGTTCTCAAATCTTGCACTGGTTTCTTTTCATTTTGGCGTACGGTAAATGTTGGTATTAAAATATATATATATACCTCAAATAACCAGTTTGAGATTTTATCCATAAAAATTAAAAATGAAAAATATTTTGTAGTTTGACTTTATGAGCGGCAATAATGTAGTATTAAGGCTAGTATATTGTATATCTCCATATTATTAAATAATGAATGTGCTATCTCTTGTTTATAAAGTAAATATAAATAATAAATACAAGTAATTTTCACAAGTCACTGCTTTTATTCCAAAATCCTGATTCTATAAAATCTGAGCTTCCCTGCAGTTCCTCTGTTGACCTGCGGATGGCAGTAGAGGTGTAAATTTGTCTTGTGCTACAAATTGACAGGCTACATTAAGCGAGGTGTATACTGTATTTGTGTTTATATATATATATATAATTGTAAATATTAAATAGTCATAACTTTATGTTGTTAAACGTTTAAGTCAGTAGATTATCGCTCAGTTATAAAGAAGCATTTACAGAGAACCTCAGGTCTCCTAAACACCTGGCCTGTAATTATAAACCTTTTCCTTCCTAATGAAACTACAAGCTGGCAACAATTTCATCACTACGCTGCACTTTTCCTCTTCCTCTGAACATTTTCACATTAACAAAAGCAAAGACCTGATCAGTCCTCTCCCGCCCCTCTCGTCTSTGAGGCCAGCAGTGCTGAAGGACACCGGGAATCTCTCACCACCTCAGAGAAGAGGCTAATCCTCTTTGCCCCAACTTTAACTGGACCACTAATCCTCCAGGTTTATCTGAGCAGTGAGCACCTAGCGCTGCTGACAACTTGGCCTGCCCTCCTCCCTTCAGCCCGTTAAGTAGGGCAGGGCTCGGTCCTGCAAGTGTCACTGTCAGCAACTCTGGAACCACACGCTTGCACAGGAAGTGTGAGCTGTTAGCAAAATGGCTTGCCTGCATACAGCAGGCTTGTGCTGGCTACCACAAAAAAAAAAAGTGTCTCAACAAACCAAACGGCAGCCACACAGGACTGCGTTGTAACGGCCTTCCTTTGGTTTGGTAACTGCTTAAAGGAAAGTCGACCGCCTCAGTCTCCGGGCCTACTAACTAGCTCGGCATTAGAAGTACAAATTGTTCAGCTGTCCTCCAGCAGGTTAAAGGTGTTTAGGCTGATGAGTCTCAAGTGGATAGGCTGGACTTGAGCCAACTCATTCTTTATTCACCCAACAACACTTCAGACTGACGGATAGCTTCCTGTAACACATTTAAGGCCCAGCAGTCTGACACCAAGGAGGGAACTTTTATTACTTACACATGAATCATTTCCTTCTCTTGCATTTAAAGAGGTGGATAACGGATAAACCTTCCTACTATCTGTAGCGTTAATTTTTTTCTCTTTGTAATCATTCTTTTTACGATCCCCAGTGAAATATTTCACCAACCTGACGTTTCTGATTAGAGCGGGCAGCCACTGGAAGAAGCGGGAGATGAAGAGCCGGAGACATATTGGGTCAGGTGGTTTGTGAGATGACCTTTCAGTTCATATAGGATAAAAAACGAGGCCACTGATCCTGAAATGATTCAGAGTGTCTAAAGTGACAGGCGAGGGCACAGCCATGGCAGAGTTTCAGCTTGCCTCCCCCACACCCCTCCCTGCCCGCCTCGGCCTCCGTAAGCATCTCTTATGATTTATTGTGAAATTGCCAGGGACTCAATGTGGCGTGCAGGTGAATAAGTTTTGCTAATAAGAGAAGCATTTCTGCTCCACAGAGCTCTTTTTCTGTCTGAGCGAGCGTGTATTGAAATTGGTGTGCAGTCTCCCAGTACCACACGCTCCGGTGGAGGCGGCTGGCTCATCAGTCTGTGGCTTATCTGATGTTTCAGGTGGGCGGCGAGGTTGGGAGTGAGAAGAGAAAAGGCGAGTGTCTGTGTTGAGTTCTYGTGGATACCTGTGTTGTCAAACATGCAGACTGGATGTTTGTGAGGTTTTTTTATTTTAAGTAGAGTGATAGCAGCAAAGTTAACGCACTAACCTTTAAATTGAGCACAAATTGAAGGCATAAGTCTTTTTTTGATTTCCAAACAGTTATTAGAAGATTTATTGCGAGGACTAGCTGAGCTCCAAAAACAAGCATTATTTTAATCTCTAGCAAACTTGTCTGCACTGATAAWTACCATGTAAMGTGATTTTAAAGCAACAGAYCTTCAGATCRTTTGAAGGTTGTAAACARTTAGTATCTTACCTGCTGCAGATAGCTTTTTGATCAACCTCARTTTGAAGCAACTGAGTTTMATTCTGACAGACTGACAGCTGGTCAAGCAGGACCAGGAACAAAGTGTCTTGCTGCCATCTTTAAACCACTTCAGTGGCAACAATTTCAAAAAATGCATCTGGTTAGTTTTGGATCACATTGTTTTGTTTAAATAACTGTTGCATTTTTACTAGAAGTACCTTCTACAACTAACTACTATTTGGATTTGCAGATAATCATGGATGCCTAAGTAAATAACCATAGCCTATTGCAAAATTTACAGCAGTATTGAGGCTTGTAACATAACACTTGGATTAACTGCTATGAAATCATTTGAGGTTGGAGTTGTTTTAGGATGGCAGTAAATAGTTGTTAGTTTGGTCAGGACCATAGCCTGTTTCTTCAAACTGAGGCTGTTTATGAGATGTCTACAACAGGTAAGATATTAATTGTTCATAATCTATTCACACAACCCTACTTCAATAATAATAATAATAATAATAATAATAATAATAATAATAATAATAATAATAATAAATCTAATTTATTGCTTTAATTTGCCTTTGTCTCTCAGCACCATCTTGGAAAAATGTCAACCCATTACACAAAAAAAAGAAGTAAAAAATTTAAAAGAGGCTCCCCCCACACCCACCGCTACATACCCCCCACCGGCTTGTTTTTTCTCCCCCCTTCCCTGTTTCTCTAAGGTGAGATTGTTACTGCTGTAGAGGTGAAAAGGGTCAAGTGAAAAACAAGATTGTCGAAGCGGGCATATGGTGGTGATGCTCAAACCGAATCCCAAGACTAATATGCTTACCTTCATTACAGCAAGGTCTAGTCCTGCCGCTTTCTTTAAAATGTGACAGAAAGAGAGGAAGAAAGAGGGGGGGRAAAGCAGTCATAGAAGTCATCTGCTTTATTTCCTTATGTCAAACAGAAATACATCGGAGAGGAGAGGTCAAATGAGAAACAGCCATCTACATTAAAGTAAAGAAATTTCAGTCCTGAGATTGACAAAAAGCAGGGAACAGACAGAATATCTACGRTGATGGTCGGGATGGAGGAGTGACAGTGGCAGTTTCAGCAAATTGAAGATGATGGTTGTGGGGAGATTGCAGAACTGCAGAGGGTAAGCAATCACTGGGATGCTTGGCTGTAGGCACATTCAAAAGTTGAAAACCCCCCACAAGTAAAGGATTTTACAGCTTATTTTCATATTCAGACTTCTTTTTTCCAAAATCTAAGACTCATACATTATCATTTTCAAAAAGAAGAAAGCAATGTATTCCTTATGTTGTTGTTTTCTTTTTCTTTTCTTTTTTTCATCCTGAGGAGACAAAATCATTTTTAAACACAGTACTGCAGGGAAAACAATAAGAGAGATGCTTTATAGATTTCCCATTTCCATATATATTATTTTCTCAAGGTTGCGGCACCCTCATACTTTGGCAGCATTGGTGCACTCGAGATCATCGGAGAAAAACAAAGCAGCCCTGTTTGTCCACAGGATAATTTGGAGAGCCATACAAACAGTGAAAGGAATCAGGAGAAAGAAAGAAAAGAAGAAGGGAAAAAAAGCAAAATCCCCAGACTTTTGCGTTTAGATTGGATTCAGTAATAGACCCACCGCACAAAAGCAGATGAATATTTGGAGGCCATGAGGTTTTTCATCTGAAGCTGTGACGGAGGAGAAATAAAACGCTGTAAGCTCCTGGAATTACACCCCATCGTACTGCCTTTTTTATTCTTCTTTAGCCTCTAAAACCGTGTTTGTGGGAGGAAAAAAATCCAGATTTATTTTGTCATCTGCTGGTTTTACCTCGCAGTACATCTAATGAATACTAAAAACAGATTAGGAATTCGGTGCCACTCACATTTGACCCGTCAGGTGTTTTCCAAAAGGGATTTGCTCAAACTGTGACACAAAACACAACGAAGCTTTAATGAAATTGCACAACACCGCCGCTGTAAGGCTGGTGGTTTTAACTGTACAAGCCTCCTCAGGACTGTCTGAATTATTGATTAAAGTAGTTTCTCGCTAGGTATGAGTGAAATGGAGAGGACCGTCCTCATGAATTCATTCTCTTTTGGATGTTGGAGAGGGAATTCTGGGCACAGGTCTGAGATGAGGACCCCTCCAAAGAGCAGAAGGGCAGCCAGGGGACATGACTGAGGTTGACCAAAGTGATGTGGAAGGGTGGGGAATGCACCCGTCAGAAAAACACCCATCATCTGTAGGTCAGAAAAACAGCGCCAAGTCTCTACAAAGTGAGCAGCTGCCTTTATTTTTCTACCCCCCCCCCCCCATTCTCTCTGTTCTGAGAATGAAAGAGCTGACCCTGCTCTGAAGCAGCCTGTCTGCTCTCTTTGCCTCTCAGCTGTATTTAAGGTGCGTAATATGCAACTAGACCTTTACTCTGGGCAAAGGTCTTCACGGACTTATTGGGATTTACTAAGGGATTTTAACAACCAGCATAAGTCATTTCTCCTACACTTTGCCCTCCAGCTATCCTCACGAGTGTCTCATTGCCCTTGAAAGCGTGTTAAGTCAATAGCAGTCTGTAGCCACAGAGATAAGTTATAGATCGAACTGTCCTCATTCAGATGAGCATGTCGGTGGGATGAATCATTTCCTGTAATGCACTTTTCTTTCCTTTCCTTCAAATAACATGTTAAAAGAAAGCGAGGCCCTCGTCGACTAAAATTTGGTAAATCGAGGTGTAATAAGTCTGTCACTCAGACAGGAGATTTTGCTCAAGCTAAATTTGAAGATGACAGCGTTAAGTCAAAGATGAGAGAGCTGCAAACAACAAGGAAGATGACAGTTATCCTGATAACTGATGCTCCGAGGCGTCTCTGACCCYGAAATCTTTGCACATTTCATTCTCTTCTAGTGTTTCCTGTCTGACTGCACAGGGGCCCCTCAGCCACGYAGGGAACAAGCCATGTATAATCCAACAGAAAACAAATCTCCCCCCCCCCCATCAAATGCAGCACAGCTTTTTAAAGCAGGGCCTCCAGAGCCTGGGCGCCAGCATGTACCACTGGGGCCATCCGAGACGATGTGGAGGCTGTGATTTAGCAACACCCACACACACACACACACACACACATACACACACACACTCACACCCAGCACCCAAACCCTGCTGTCCTCCTCCTCTTCAACGCCAGCCAGTTTTCTAACCTCCAGTTTGTTTAAGCACCGCTGAACCCTGTTGGCCTTGGCCAGGGGGAGGGTGGGCTCAGATAATGACATACCATATGCCACTCTGCCTCTGCAGCTGAGTGGGCTGTGGCTGGATCAACTCAGGCACAAATCTATTGGAAATTTAATTCTATTATCCTAATATGGGGCTAAGCGTCCATTGTCCAAATGAGGGATAGTGGATTGGGCCAGAGGTTGCAGGGCTAAGATGCATGCCACCAACAGGCGCTCATTGTGTGTAAAAGACCAGGAGGGGGGTGGGGGCAGACCGTTTGGAGCCTTGAATTGTGAATAGTGATCAAAAATGCTCAGCATCTTTATGTTTGATTCTAATGTTTTTGAAATTAACATTTGAGGTAAATAATCTTTTGTTGCTGGGTTTTTTTTTTGTGTGCGTGGTTGTTTCAGGCAGCTAAAAAACAGTCCCTTTCTATTAAAAAGGGGTTCTTTTCAATTTATCCACTCATCCATTTATTTTATTTACCCATTTCTTGTTTCCGGGTCACAGGGAGCTGCTGCCTACCTCCTGCAGTCACTGTGCTAAATGTAGCTTACACCCTGAACAGGTAGCAAGTCCATCACATGGACAGAAGGACATTATTCACACTCACAGCTAGGGAAAACGTAGCGTAACTAGAGAAAACCCACACCTGCAGGGGGGAAACATATAAAACTTCAACCAGAAAGGCCCCAAGCTGAGAGGCGAGCCTATCAAGATTTCATTTCTTTGACTAAATAAATACTTTGGAGTGTCCAGCTGCCAGACGTCACCCACTATTTCCATTAACCAAAGAGGCCCGGTGCCKCAGACTTCCACTGGTGGGAAAGGCCAGACACGAGAACTCCACTGCCCCAAGTGTCTCCTYTTCACTCCGACATCATGTGACAGCGTTTAATGCTCGGCTGCAGAAGCCAAACGGGAGGGATTTAGTGATGGGATATATCTGGAAGATCTGTCAAAATATTCCTACTAGACAGAAAATATGCTGGAATCAGACTGCGGCTAAAGCATTAGACTGTTGAAACAACACAGAAAAAAAAAATCCACTGCAATGCTAAGAAGGTTTACTATGCAAATTTAAGCCAAGGGGGGCTGGGTATTCTTTAGCCTAAAATTTCTGACAGCTTTGAAAAATGGTATCATCATCAGTGGAATGTTTAAAGAGATAGTTCAGATCTTTGAAGTGGCGTTCTGTGGAAAGATTGTGAGCAGTAAATATCTTACTTGTTGTAGAAAGCTCTTTGGATAAACTCAGTTTGGAGAAATGKAGTTTAATTCTGATGGGATTGCCAGGCTAACTACTAATCTGTGCAACACAGAGTAAAATAGATTGCTGCAATCTTAACTCCAATCTTTAAAACTGCAGAACAATTTATGCAAATGCTAATTTTTAAGACTCTGTCCTTTCCACATCACATGGTTATTTAGCATGCAAATACCACCAGCAGCAGCAGCTAACTGCAGCACTCATGGCACAGCCTGGGCCATTCCAGCAGGAGTACCGGTATCTTATTTCTGCTTGAATAACCATGTAATACACATTTAACACGTCAAATGATTTAGTAAATAACGTTTACACAAATTAATGTCAATTTCTAAATTTTAAAATAGTTTTATGATGGCACCAGTTACATTTGTTCTTGGTCCCACTTGCACAAACTGTCCATCTAGTCTCAATTAAATAATTCAAAGCACTATCTGAACAGGTAAGATAATAATTGCTAAAAACCTACACATAGAACCATATACTTCAAAAGATGTGGACTGTCACTTTTAGGCCCAAATTAAAGAAATTGATTTTTATTCAGTCTAACTGTAAAAGAAACATTTTTCTTACTTTTTCATCTTCCCTCTTTGTCTTTTTAAAATCAAATTCTACCTACCGGTAATCCTTATTTACAGTACTTATGCTTCTGCCAGCACATTTTCCCCCCGTTATCTTTGGATGTCAAATTGTAAACATTTAGATTATCTATTAAATGTACACTCTTCTAATCAATACAGGATCCCATCACACTCCTTTATAGATCCAACACCACTGCCAGAAGACCAAATGCCCCGCTGACTTCCAGAAGACAAATGTTTGCAAAAAAAATCACAGACTTCCAAGCCAAGGTGCGGCTTTTGTATATATTCTTAAAGAAATTTATTTTACACCTTAAAACAAAAAAAAAAAAAGAAAAGGATTAAGGATGTGGTACATAGGGAATGTATGGACAACTGTAGTTTACATTTTTTTTGGTGTAAGCTCAGAGAGAAAAAAATGTTAATACAGTCATAATAATTGCACTTCATAAATCTAGACCGATGCCAGCATCCCCCCTCCCCCCCACAACAAAGCCCCTTGTTCTCTCCCTCTCCAGTTAATAAATTTAATTTGACTGACAAAAATAAAAAAAATCCCACCTTAAGACCAGAAGACTGCTGCACTGATACAATTTTTCACTTTCACTTGAGTCCCACAAGGCAATACAATATTGCGGTAATTTAAGTGCAGTACATTCAAGGGAATCTCACAGCCATAATAAATATTTCATTTCTCTGATTTATCAAGTTAAGACTGGCCTAGGTTAAATGCATCCCAACCTGGGGGGGGAGGCGGGTTGAGATGGGCAAGAAAAAAGCGATGAGCTTGGTCTTGTTTCATCTGACGCCAAAGGACAGGGCATGATTGTTTTCAATTTTTCATACACTCTCATTTGTTTCCACTGCTGTCTGTTAGTCGGATAACAGACGAGGCTGCAGTGCTGTAACTACAGGAGTCAAATGAGAAATAAAATCTCTATTCTGACTCAGAAAATATAAAAGCCTCCACTGAAAGGGGAGCATTGCAGGTCAGCTTCTGTACATTTACTCCCAATGTTTCTGGGACTGGTGAATCAGTCTGTCGGTTTGTAGGAAAGAAAATCTGGTTATGAAACCAAAAACTTTTAAAAAAAAGTCTGAGGATTTTGAAAAACACAAACTTAAAATCAACTCATGCACTCTGCCACACACACACACACACAAACACACACACTCACTCACTCACACACACACACACACACACACACATGCCTAAACGTACATGTAAGGTTATATAGAAAACCTCCCAATCACATTCTGCATTGTAACATTTCTTTTTCTTTTTTATTTTTTTTGCCACATTTTCCGTTTTTTTAAAATATGTCGAGATTTATTGTAGATTCCAGTGTTGGTTGAAAAAAAAKAGTTCTCCAAATGGGTTCTTACAGAACCAAAGCAGCAACTATGCCTCACACCAGGACATAATAAACTGCACATCAGCTTGAGGAGGAATTAATCGATCATAAAAACAAATGTGGAAAACAATAAAATAATAATTAAAATAAAAGAAGAAATTGAGACACTTTTCCTCGTAGCAGCCAATACATATACCTACAAATATATCAAACAACAAAAAATAGGTTCAAGTTTTTCAAGTTTCTTAAATATATCATATGCAAACTACCCAATTCCAAACTTCAAAGTTAACAAAATTCAAGCAGTGCAATTAATGTATCAATTATAACAGCAACAATAACTAATATCAACTACCCTTTTAGACTCAACCTTATGATCCTTTTTAAGTAACACCAAGAACTGCTTATAATCGTACTCTTCTCGGTTTTTTGCACATTTTATTATGTGCGTTCTGTTACAGAGTTTTTTGGATTTCACGAACAGCCCTCAGTATTGGCCCTTAAAGACCATTTCAGTGACAACCTACACAGTAGCTTCATCCTTAGTATTTGGAAAAGAGATGCAAGTGGCATATGCACTTCTTGTCAAGCTATGTTCCTCATCAAAACCAGTTTAGGAAAGAAAAACAAAACAAATCAAAGTCAATCAAAAAAATCCTATTGGCAAACCACGCAATGAAACATCGGGAGGATCTTGAAATCTCGTATTTTTCTCGTCTGGTACCACCTTCCTCTTTGTCTGGGGATTCCCATAGCCTGCTTTAAAACCGACAAATCTAAGGTTAAACAGTGCAGCAACTGCTCTTCTCTAAGCTCCCACACTAGTTAAAGCAGTGGCACTCGCAAACAAAGTCCTGTACCGCGGAAAAAACAAACAAAAAAATAAAATTAATAAACACATCTCTGTTCTTTAACTTTGATTTTCTTCACAAATTCACAACTCTTGATTCTCTTCGTCCTCACGCTCCCCCCATCTATCTGTATACAGGGAGGCGGATGTGTGCATGCTGGTGGTCTAACAGACGCGGCACAGACACAGTCTCGTAGCCTTTGCCGAGCATCTGCTCCTTGATGCAGGGAGGGTGGATGTCGTTGATCAGGTACTCCAGGGACTGCAAGCTGCTGCTCAGCACGGACGTGTTGCACAAGCTCTTGCTAGGCAGGCTGCAGCACAGCCCTCCGCCGCTGTCTATGGCAGGATGGTGGTGGTGATGGTGGTGGTAGTGGTGATGGTGGTGTGGGTAGCCCATTTCTCTGTGCCCAGTCGTCGGTCCACCTGTGGAGGTGCCCAGAAGCTCCTGGGGGTTGTAGCAGTCACTGTCGGGGGTCACCAGCACACTGTTCCACGGTGGCGCAAAGTACTGACCCACTGAGAAATTTCCGTGCATACCCATGCAGTTCAAAGGGGAGGAGCTGACTTTTTCGAGCCCGCCACCCCCGCTGGCACTCGCTGTCAGATGATAAGGTCTGGAGGACGAGGAGGACACCTGTGTGGCCATAATCCCTCCGCCGGGGACACAGGTTTCAGGAGATTTGCTGATGGCGCCTCCTCCTCCGCTGCCGCCGCTGTACATGCGGAGGACGGCCTGTTGTTGCTGCTGCTGCTGTTGTTGCTGTTGCTGCTTCTGCCACAGGATGTAGTCCATACCGTCTGCGTACACGCCACTCTTCATTGCCTCTGCGCTTTGAGCCGGCAGCCCCGATCCGGTGTACACCATGTTAGCCTGGGGACCCATTCCAACTACATAACCTCCACCTGAGGAGCTAGACGTAACCCCCATGACGGCCGAGCTCTGCTTGGAGGGGCTAGGATTCGTTGGTGCAGTGGAAGCCCCTTGACACACCTGCTGCAGAGCCTGAGCCTGGCAGTGCTGGTTGATCTGATAGATGATGCTCTGGATGGAGGGAAGGTTGGACTGTGCAGGGAGAGCCAGGCCTCGACCCCCTGTTACAGGAATCACTGAGCCAGCTACAGTGACATTTGGGGGAATGGACAGTCCAGGTGCTTCTGAAAGCTTTGAGGGCCCAGTGTGGTATACCATTTGGCCATGACCACTGGCTAAAGTGCTATTACTAGGGGGTGGATATGGAGCGACAGCTATGTGGGCTGGAGAGAGCTTAGTCCGTCTGCCTTCTGCATTCTTGAGAACACCTTTTGAAGCGACAAAGGTAGATGTGGATGATGAGGACGAAGAGGAAGAGGCCTTGACAATGGCAAGTAGACCCTGGTAGCCCCCTGTGTGGAGATGTGGGTAGGGGCTGTAGCGCTGCCCCGTGGTGTCGTATCCATTCACAGTCCGGTTAAGGTGCTTGTGCTGGGGAACCCTGATGTTGGTGGGGAAGATCTTAATGAAAAGTGGGCTGTTTGCCGTCTTCTGAGCGTAAGCATCCAGCTCTGCAGCTGTGGGGTAGCGTGGGGAATGTGTGGGCACCACCAGGTCACCTGAAAGACAGAGAGAAAAGCATGAGACATCAAATCACAAATAGTTGGATACAGAACTCCTAGTCTTGGATTTAATTAGCAATAGTATGAAAGAAGGCCGTGACAAAGACAACAGTCAATCCATTGTCATCGTAAGCTTTAACTCATTCAGTACTACAGCGACATCTGATTCATTCTGCCTTAATTGCCTAAAAGTGATGTCTAACAAAAAGTTTTTTTTCCTTTAGCTCCATGTTGGTTCTGTACTATTCCATCATATGTTTCTGTCAAACAAAAAGTAAAGTGTGAACCATCGATTTGAGCTAATCTGAGATTTCTAAACCACAGATTCACCAGCAAAAAAGTGAACTGCAAGGTTTTTAAAGCCAAGAATGTTTTATGAATTATAAGAACAGCCTCTGATAAGATCTCGAGACTTTACTGAAATATAATTCAAGAAAACCTTTATTAAAGAAGCCTGAGGTGAATCAAACCAGCAGATAAGCTTCAGAACAACCCAAACATAGTTTGCAAAAGCTGTAAATGAGGACTGGCATTCATTTATGTGCTGTCACACCCCCTCCTCCGTTTGAGCTGTCTTTCCATCTCATTTTCACACCCTCCTGTGGATGTACATCCCTAGACAAATGAATCTTTTTAAAAACTCATTCTGTCAAAGCCTGGTACCTCGGGCACTGTTAAATCAGTGCATTGTGAAATTAATTCGGACTCTCTTCAGCACTGAATTGGGTTAGCCTTGGTACCAGGCGCGCAGGGAAGGAGGGGAGGGGATAAAAGCTGGTTTAATTGCGGTGGCACATTTGAGATTTATAAGTGGTATCACTTACTGGGTCTTACCCTTGGCCACAAAATTTTCACATTTATTTAGTCCGAGACTCATAGGGAGAAGGGGCCCTAACAAAAAATTACAAAAAAGTAAAATGAATATATGTCAGCAGGGGCTTATTAATTTGGTTAGGGTGAAAAATTTAAAAGTCAACCCAATAAAAAATGCTAAAAGGTTGCTTTTTTCAAACTTGACTTAAATTTGAAACTAATAAATAATAAATACATTTAAAATATACAGATGTTATGATTAAAATAAAAAACAAGCAGGAGAAACACCAGGGCTTTGCTTTTGACTTACAAAGCATCCAGTTAGTTTTTCCTGTACATTTAAATACCTAACTTTAAAATTTAAAATGTCATAACGTTAAACAGATAAAAATGTAAAAACATGCTAGCACCTTTAATAGGCACTTTTATTTAAAAGCTTAGACCCAAGAGTCCATACCAGTTCCAACATTTCAGTCCACCAACTGAAGGTGGGGAGTGAGACAACGGCCCTCAGCCAATGAACCAACACGTCTGTTGTAAAATGAGGTGGCAAACAGGAAAAACGCAATTTCTAAAATGCCCACCATGTGTCATTGTTTGGGTGCTGGGTATGGAGGTGAGGGGCCGTGGTGAGATTGGATTTAAACGACATTATTCAGGCAATTTCATGGCTACTTAGTTCAGTGTAACAAAAAAGCGTGGGGGGCTGGGAAAAGAAGTCAATTTACAAACAATATATCAGCTGCCACGAATGACTTGAAACCCCTAAAAAAACATTTTGACGTCAAAGCAAACAAAATTCTAAAGAAAATTAACTGTTCTACTTGTGCTGCCAGCAAATGTCCCGACTACCTCAGGTGTCTGCGGGGGCGCAGGCTGTGACTGGGACGCAGTCCATTTCCTTTCCAATTGCAAAATCATTTTAAAGAAACTCCACAGCCAAGTAGTCACAATTCTCATTTCTTCGCTCCCATTACAGATATCATGGGGAGTTCATTTCAACGACCCTTTGGGTTCCCAACTGTGAAAATGATTAAATCTACAAGATCCATATCATAAGAGAAATAAATTAGGAATTTAACAGTAGCGAGAGACGAGACTCTGAATATCCCAAGCTAAATTTAGTGGCAGACGGGTCATGTYGGTTTAACCAATGGACAACGTATTTTTAAAACCAGAAACCCTACACTTGAAATTTCTCTTTTAATCTGCACAAACACACTGACATCAGAGACTTGGTTTCAGTCGGAATGAGGGTGACGCCCTAATGGGTTGGTATGAGTGTGGCGGGCCAACCTATCTGAGATCTAACTAACCTCAGTGAGGCAAAGCCCTGCTTCCCTCGTGACAGCAGTGTCGTTTGCTTTGATGTTCTGACTAGCAGAGGAAAACTGACAGAAGACTTATTTCATTTGCTCAGAAGAGAAAAACATGCTCATTTCAAAGCACATTGCGGGTCCACATGCAAATGGAATGGCAGCATTTTTTTCTGATCTTTTTTACATGAGGGCGAAAAAAATACATCTTTGATCATCACATGGTCTAAATGAGGAAAGATACTTGGCTTTCAGGCATATCAAGGGCCTCTGCCCTGCCACCCCTACAAGCCCCCAGATGCAATATGCCCATCATTCCACCTAATTACTGCCACATGAGGGGAAAAACTATAAAAAGCCAGGAAATTCATTAAAGGGTAGCTAATTCTATTCCTTCTCACTGACTGAGCCCTATATTTTCCATGCCTGAGTCTGTGTTTCCTCTGAGAAGGAGAAGACAGCCCTCTCCCTTCGTCTTTTCCCAGCTTGGCCCTTGTTTGTCAATAGGCAGAGCCTTTGGCACACCAACCTGGCATCAAAGGGCTTCACACTTCACAGGCCACAGGGATTAGAGGCCTTTCAGGCCTACAAAACCCATCTCAGCTCCACAAAGGCTTCCGGTTATTAGAACCCACAGGCATAAAGGAAGAAGAGGAGGAGGTGGAGGCAAATGAGCATCTGGATGCTTCTGATTCCGGCTTCCTCTTTAAAAAGTTCCACGGTATAAATTTTATAGCAAAGTTGATTACCGTAAGTATAGCCACAAACCAAAGCATATTTCACTCTCATACACAAGCTGTTATAGACACTGTGTTTGATGTGCAGGGCCTGCACATCTCTCTCCTCCAGAGCTTAAAGTCTATAAGGGAAGACAGGGAGGTTAAAGGAGAGAGTCTCTTTTTAGACTGGCACTCTGTGACTTATTGGTTTAGGCTGCAGTAGATCATAGCAGTGAGCGGCAGCATACAGATGGTGCCGGCTGATAAACAACCTCAGAGGCAGCCAGCATTTGTGTGAACCCTCGGCTTTTATAAGGTAGGGGGGTTTCCTGCACCTGTGCACACGCACACTCTCTGGCGTGGCCATGCATGCAAAGATAATGCATGAAAATAGGAAAGAAATTGTGCATAAATGTTCAAATACAGACACACATACACATTTGCATCTGCTTCTGTGTGTCTCATTTGCCATCAGTGGAGCATGTTGTTATCCTCTGCTCAGCGCTCTCTCATGAAATGTAGGGCAGGGACAACAACAGGTGCCTGTGCGGGCGACAGCCTGCAATGCCTCCTGGGCTAAATGCTTCACACTCGCTTCATTTCAACATGCGACAGCCTTGTAAGGATTAATTATTTCCCCTGGGGATGGGAGAATATGCTTTTCCCTTCCTTAGAGCAGGAGGGTATGTGCACTCACAAGCACATGAAACAGCTTACAGTGAATTAACAGCGAAACCTGGGCAAGCGCCGCTTCTTACAATAAGAAAAAAAAAGGCAGGGAAAAAAACTTTCACATGAAAGAAATGTAAACAAACCAAGCATATGATTGAACTGCACTGGAGATTAGATAAAAGCTCAGGCAAACACATGCATTAGTTCTAAGAGATCACGCGCYGGGGAGCGGAGATGGCAGGGAGGCAATTAATGGGTTGACCTTCGTCCTTAATCACCCAGTGCCTGGCACACAATGCCCATGTGTCAGAGCAGCACATCTCTAAATGCCACCCCTCATTAGCACAATGCACACGGTGAGAGAGGCTATCTGTGCATTGTTACGCTCTCCAGCGGTCAGACACAGATAGCAAAGCAGTGATTGGATAACGTGGCAGCACAGAGCTGGCCTGAACCGCATTGGGCCACGATATGATCTAAAAATCCCAATTTTCCTGGGAGGATGGGCACTTTCTTTTCTCTCCATTTTTGATTGGCATGAAACTCCCCAAGCGCGACGTCCTTGGCGTACCCGGTGTTGTCACTGTGATTGCATGTGTGCGGATTTGTGTGCATTTAGTTAAGGGGGTACCCAATTCCTAACACTCAATTAACACTCCTTTAATTAGCCAGCAGTACATTTTGAATTCTGATGAACTAATTTTCTTGGTGCGAGGGTGGAAGAGGCAGCAGAGTGGGGTGGTGGGTGGCGGAGGGGGAGGCCTGGTAAAGATGAGGTCCACTGGGTACAAAACGGCAATAAAGAGAGAACTGGTTAGATTAGACTGTAAAAAAATCCATTAAATTCTGTGCACTTCTTCCAAGTGAGAGGTCAAATTGTGTTGATCACAAGAAGCAAAGGCAGATAGAAAGACTATGAGAGCAGGAAGTCAGGTGTGATAGAAGAGGAGAGGGACAGAAAAAAAAAGGGAGAAAAGATTGGGAGGCAAAGGCTGTGTGAGAGTGCAGCACCATATCCAGAGAACCGTGAGAATGCTTTGCATTTTAATTAGAAGTTTAAATGAAKAAGCAGAGGTAAAAAATCTGAAACGCCCTCACCACCATTTATTAGTGTTCCGAGCATTCTAAAACTACGAGTTTCTTCTTAGCAGAGGAGAGATGCTCCAAAACATGAAAAAGCCCTCAGGGTTTTCCCAGGCATTTCTTTTTTACTGCACGCTTTGATCCCTTCTGACCACTGGCGAGGATGGGAAAAGAGTGCTTGTTTTGATGAAGGGAGAGGACTGCGCGGTGGAACTGCAATTAAGTTTTCACAGGACAACGAGCACGTAATACACATTAACTCTGGCCCGACAAATCAGAGCAGTCTGTGAAGAGGTTAGGGCAAACAACAGAGGCAGAGATTACCGGGTTAAAAAAATGGGGTCAGCCTTTGTTTGACTTCCACAGCACTCTTAAGGAGCCATTTCCCCTGAAG